CGTCCTCGATGCCGTGGTTGCTGAGCTGCACGATCTTGACGGCCACACGGCCAGCTACGCCTGGCGCGAAGCCTTTTGCCAGGCGGGCGATCGCCAGCTTGCCCTTGGCTCCAGGCTTCCCGCAGGCACGGGCAAAGGACGAGCTCCTCGCCGCGCCCGTGGCCCCGCAGACGAGGCAGGCCAGCAGCGGCATCTCGCGCTGCAGCTGGGCCTCGATCTGCGGCTCGATCTTCACGATGACGTGCGCCAAGGCGCCATGCGCCCGCAGCTTCCTATTGTGGTCCAGGGCGGACGTCACAATCGAGCCAGGGCACTCGCTGGCGCGCTCCAACCAGCGGCACCTGCTGCACCATCGCGCCCCAGGCGGCCCACGGAGGTCGCAGCCGAGCCCGGCAACAGCGGGCTGCAGCGCTGCTCGTGGGGCTGCCTTGTTGGGCTTCGCCGCGCGGTGGGTGGTGTCGTCCCTGCCCACGGCGGCCCCGACCGCGGAGACCCACATGGCCACGCCCTCGACCAGCTCCCGTGCCGACTGCAGGCGTTGGCGGGCCTCAGGCGCGACTCTCGCGCGCTCGGCCGCGCGCTTCGCGGCCTGGTCAGCGATGCGGCTGCCGATCCAGTCGCGAACGGTGATGATGCCTTCGTCAACCACACGGCGGCTCGGGACTTGCGCAGGTACCTTCTTGAGGGCCAGGCCCTGCGGGCCTATCCCCCCGAAGTCCTCGACGAGCCTCCAGAGCTCACGCCAGAGGTGGGCCGCCGCGTAGCCCCAGCGCGTCGTGTTCAGCGGCCCGTGCTCCATCACACCCTTGAACACGAAGTTCGAGTCGACGATGGCCCTGACGGGCGGCACGGCGTGGCGCAGCGTGCCGATGAGCGCAGCCAACTCACCACCGTTGATATCGGCGAAGGGCTCGCACAGCGTGCCCGAGATGCCCGTGCGGAAGGCGTCCGCGCCCTCCTGCAGCATCACCGCAGCCCAGCCGACGCTCGTGCACTGCTGGAAGTCGCTCTCGTAGGCGGACCCGTCCAGGTAGACGTCGCCAGGCGGCAACATGCCGCCAACGTCTTGGCCCAGCCAGCTGAGCCCAGGAGGCCGAGGCGGCTTGATGATGCCGCGGGGCGCAGGCCACAGCACGCGTTCCAGCAGGCACTCCACCTCCTCGAGAACGGCCCTGCTCGCCAGCTCGCGGATCTTGCTGGGCAGCCGCATCTCAGGCGGCCATCCACTGCAGCACGTGTGTCTATGCAGCAGCGTGCCGACGTCGCCGCACAGCAAGCACTTGTCGTCCGCGGCGTAGCCACTCAGGTACTTGCGGCGCTGTGGCCACTGGCCGTCCACGATAACCGAGGCGAGGTAGCCGCACTCCTTGGGCGCAAGTCGGATCGCCTTAGCCTTCTGAGCGGGCGTCGCGCCACCGGCATCGGGCGTGGGTACCGCAACTCCTCGAGGCGCGCCACTCGGGGGAGCGGCGCCATTGAGGGCAGCATCCGCCAGCCCACCCTGAGGAGCCGTCGACGCACCTTGCCGTGGAGGCGCGACGCTTGGGCAGGCCCCAGCTCCAGCGTCGCCAGCAGGCAGCCCAGGTCCGAGCGGTGCTCTGCCCTCTGGGTCTGGCCGCGGCGGGGGGTCGGGCGCCACCTGGCCGAGCAGGTCGTTGATGAGGTCACCCCATCCATCACCAGCTTCAGCGCGCGCAGCTTGTAGATTAGCGGCGCTGGCCTCCACCGCTAGGTAGCCCGTCCCAAACGCGCGAGCCATAGCTGGACCAGAACGGCCACACGCAGCAGAGCCAGCCTCCACACCATTGCCCAAAGGCGGCGCCGTCACCTCAGGAGGCACAGCAGGTCGAGCGACAGGCCGAGGAGTGGCGGCATCAGCGTCACCGTCGACGTAGTCCACCTGTCGGCCGAAGAAGCCTTTGCTCTGCACCGCACCCGCGTTGGTGAGCCTGACGATGGGCTCAAGGATGCCCCCATCAGCCAGGTGGGCGAGCCCAGGCCGCTGCCCGACCTGTCGCCACTGCCACGCCTCCACCGCCATCCAGAGGAGGCGCTTGACGACCCAGGGCGAAGTCTCGAAGATGCAGATGCAGTCGCCGCAGTGCGTGAGCCAGGTGCTGCCGTCGACGATCTGCCAGCCTACGCGCTCGAGGGGGAGCCTGACCGCGGAGAAAGGCCCCTTCACCTGGCACCAGCTAGTAGCCGCGCACTGGGCCAGGCCGTACTTGATCACGTGCTTCGGGACCCAGCACTCCCATACCGCGCGCAGCATCGCCATGACAGGGGACAGCGTCGCGCGATAGATAGGGTCGAGGAAGGGCGCGAGCATGAGCGTGAGGGTCCGCGAGCGCCCCGCCACGCTCGGCGCCACGGCCGTGAAGATGAGCGTGCGCAACTTGTCGAGCTCCGTGGCGGCGCAGCCCGTTACGGAGAAGCCGTAGGATACGGGCGCCTCGAGCCCGCTGCGCGCCACCTTGCGGACTGCCAGCTTGCGCCCGACGCCTGTCTTCAAGAGGGCCACGCGCCTGATCCTCAAGCCAGCAAGCACCATCTTGTCGCCTCGGACTTTCCTCGCCACCCCACGGCCACCAGAGAAGTCGACACCAAGATTGCGCTTGCCCTGGACCGACACCATGCCGAGCGGCCGCTTGAGCTTCGCAGCGACGGCGTGCCTGACGTCGGGCACGTTGGCGAGCACGCGGGACTTGGAGAGCGCCACGTTGAGGTCGTCCTCCGTCAGCAGCGTCTTGAGCTTGAAGGCCGCCTCCGCCACCTCCTTCGTGACGCGCACGGCGCCGCCGAATCTGTGCAGCATGAGGTCGTCCACGACGACCGCCAGCAGCAACGTCGGGTGCTGCTCGACCAGCCTGTCCAGCGGCCCAATCAAGATTAGCTTGAGCAGGGTGGTGGCGAAGCCGTCGCCTGGCAAGATCGCCTGCCGAGCCTCGATCACGTCGGAGTGCGCGCTGCCCAAGGCGAGCACCCTAGGCGCGCAGTACAGCTCCACCTGAAGCTTGAGCTGCCACAGCGGGAAGCCCGTGCGCACCGCGGCGTCGAGCAGCCAGCGGTGCCTGACCTGCTCGAAGGCCTTCAGCAGGTCGAGCAGGACGGCCGCCGCCACCCAGCGTTTCTCGTCGCCGCAGTCCTGACCACGCTGCGTGGCCCACTCGCCGATAGCAGCCTGGCGCCAGACCGATCGCTCGCAGCTGCGCCCCGCCGAGGCCCACCAGTAGCTGCGCGCGTTCTGCACCTCCCACTTGCGTGCGATGTCCCGACGCAGGCGGGCTTGCACGCGGGCCAGCACCATGATCAGCGAGATCGGTCTGACACCACCGATCCTCTTCTGGATGAGACAGATCTTGGTGGTCATCTCGGGCCAGGACGCGTGGAGCTCGATGGCCTCGATGATGTCGGCGAGGACCTCAATGCCTTCGTCGCAGAGGTCGTTGAGCTGCCTGGGCCGCACCGCGCAGAAAGAGGTGCCCGTGTTGGCGGGGAAGGTCAGGAGCACCGCCCGCAGCTGCGCCACCGTCGGCCGAGGCGGCCGCGCGCCAAGGTCCTCCGGCCAGCGCAGCGCCACCTGCTCGCAGCTCGTCCTCCACCAGCTGCTCCAGGCAACCTCCAGGGCGGCGACCTCCGCGGCGAGGTCGGCGGGCTCACAGAAAGCCGCGTGCGTCTCCTCGGTGCTAGCGTGCAGCATGGGGCTCTCCGCGAAGCCGATCGGCAACCTAGCCACCGCGCGGGGCCCGCCGCCACCGCCCCCAGCTTGCTTGGCGATCCACTGCTGGAACCTGACCTTGCGCTCCGACATGTCTCGCTCGGCCAGCATCGCGGCGGCAGCGCGGGCGCACTCGCTCAGCTGCAGGACCGTGGTGGATGGACCCAGGCAGTGAGCGCCCAAGCTGTTGAGGAGCTGCCACCAAGAGCTCGCGACAGGCAGGTCGTGAGGCTCAGCCTCCGCGACACCCTTCACGGCCTTGGGCGCAGTCGCCATCAGCCTGTGCAGACCTCGAAGCGCACGGACACGGCTGACGGGCTGCGCGACGGCGGCGACAAGCTGCAGCTCGCACGACAACTTGTAGAGCCAGGTGGCCTCGACCGAGACGTTGGGCCAGCGCGCGCCAGCTACAGGCAGCTTGCGGACCCAGCGCGGCTGCACTGGCTGACCTCGCCCTCGATACATCTGGGCGTCCTCGCCCACCTGGTAGATATCGATCCAGTCGGTCCCAGCCTGCCCCAGGAACCGCTGCCAGGCGACGTTGATCTGGCCGCGAAGCTGCGTCAGCTCCCCGTCGGCGCAGGCCGCCCGCGATGCATGGCCCTCAGCAGCAGCAGCCCCTGAACCTCGCTCACACCCCCCACTCAGAGTGGCGCGCTCTCCGCCTGCAGGTCGTCCTTGCAGGGGCCCACGAAGTTCAGAACCACCACCGCGTACAGGTCCATGTGCGCTCGCACCATCGGCAGCAGGCGTGGGCCCCGTAGCCCCTCGAGGCGCGCCACTCGGGGGAGCAGCGTCATTGATGGCAGCATCCGCAAGCCCACCCTGTGGAGCCGTCGACACACCTTGCCGAGGCGCAGAGCGCAGAAGCCGCCGCACCTCCACGCCGACGCTGACCCACGGCACGTGGTAGTCCCAGCGCGCGCAGCCAGCAGGCCGCTCCTGCGGGAAGCTCTTGGGCACATCCATCACACGGATGTATGGCCTCTGGCGCGTCGCCTCGAGCTCCAGCATCACAGGCCGATGCGGCCACACAGGCGATCCGCTGATCACCTCCACGTTGAGCAGCCGCAGGCCACTCGACACGATATACATGTCGATGGAGCGCATCGACTGCACGCAGGCCGGCTCGAGCGTGTCCACGCAGGTGCCGTCGAAGAACCGCAGCACTCCGCTCTTCTCCAGCTCGGCCTTGGTACAGTTGAAGTCGCCGCCGATCACGTACGGCCTGCCGTACTGCTTCAGCCTGCACGCCAAGTCGCGCAGCGCCTCGTAGTTGAACGCGTTCACCCCCACGCCGCTCCCCAAGTACACGTTCCCCACTACGACTCCCCCAGGAGTCAGCCCAGCGTGGTGAAGCAGCTGCACTCGCCCAGGTCGAACGACTGGAGTCTCGTAGCCCATCATGGTCGCCAATCCGTGCTCAAGGCGCGAGCACGTGAGGAGCCCCCCAGACGCCAGGCCCCCCGCCTGAGACGCCTGGGCCTCAACGCCCGCGGCACGCCGTCCCCGACGACGAAGCTCACCTTCAGCATCCGTCGTGCGCGCCCCGCTGAGGCGGGTCTCCTGGAAGAGCAGAACGTTGCACCCGCGGATCTGCTCCGTGAGGCACTTGTCCAGGTTGCTGAAGGCGTTCATGCTGAGCGTCGCCAGCCGCCGCCTGCTACTACCCCAGCTTCGGCTTCTTGTCCGCGTAGCAGCGGTCGCGGAAAGCCTCGAGCCACTTCCTCTTCTCGGCGTCGCCGTCGCAGAATGCCTCGGCCTGCGCCGCGAAAGCCTCAGGGGATAGGTTGCGGCAATCCATGTCCTCGTCGTCATCGCCCACCGCCGTGTGCTCACCCCCCAGATCCGCTGCATGCGCCCCCGCCCCAGACTGGGCGCCTGCCGCAGCGACGGCAGGGACAGGCGCAGCAGCTGCTGGCGGGGCGCCCGAGGCCTCGCAGGCGGCCACATCCTGCTGGAGTGCGGCGATGAGCGAATTGAGCGGGCCAGCCAGCTCGCCAAGCTCGATGCCGCCGAGGGCACCTGAGGCAGTGCCAACCAGGTCCCTGTACTTGGCGACGTCGGCGACGCAGCGGTCCTCGGCGCGCGGCACCGCCGCGACAGGCGGCTCAGCCAGGGCACGCCTGGCCTTCTCGACGAGCTCGTCCAACTCCACCTGCAGCTTCGCGACGTGCTTCTCCTGGTCGAAGGCCGCCTGCAGCGCTGCCTGGGCCGCCTTCTTTTTGCGCTCCAGCTCGCCGCGGGCCCGCAGGAGGCGCTTGGAAGCCTCGTCGGCCGCCACCTGCGCACTCCTGACAGGCTTGACCGCCGACAGCGAGCCCAGCTGCTGCTGGATGAGGAAGCGCTGCTGACGAAGGGCCTGCCAGTCCGCCTCCGCGATGAGCTCCTTGCAAGCGTCGAGCTGGTCGGCGGGACAGGCCACGAAGTAGGCACGCTTCTCGTCAGTGAGCCGCTTCGGCTTGGGAGGCTGCTGCCCTTTGCCGCCCCCAGCCGCCTGCTCGGCGTGGCGCCACGGAGACTTGGGCGGTCCCTCGGCCCAGCGACCGAGACGAGGCCAGCCGCCGTCACCAGCATCACGAGGCAGAGGAGCACCGTTGGTCGTCGGGCGGTACGCGCAGCAGTCTGGCTGCCGACACTGCGTCCTCCACCCGAGGTTCTTGTAGCAGCACGAGGGGCAGCGCCAGCCAGAGCCCGCATGGGATCTGCCAGGAGCGCCGCCGCCGCGAGGAGGAGGCGCCATGCCGCCCACGCGCGTGCCGCTGCACACCCAGAACTTTGAAAATCGCTTGGCCTCAAAGCGCGAACCCCCTCGCGCTCAGAAGCCGCCCCGTGGGACTCGCGGTCGTCGGGATGGCTCATAGCCTTGAGCCAAAATGGCTACGGAGAGGAGGAGGAGGAGGAGGAGGAGGAGGAGGAGGAGGAGGAGGAGGAGGAGGAGGAGGAGGAGGAGGGGCACATGAGGAGGAAAAAGGCGGAGGTGGAGGCAAGGGGTGGAGGAGGAGGAGGAGGAGGAGGAGGAGGGGGAGGAGGAGGAGGAGGAGGGGGAGGATGAGGAGGAGGAGGACGACGACGACGAGTAGGCGGGGAGGCCTGAGGCCCAGGAGGCGTCTGGCCAGAGCTCGGGCGGCCGCCCCGGCGGCCGCCGAGAGCGCTGGCGACGGCCACGGCATGCGGCCGCGCGGGGCTCTCTAACCGCTCGGGGCAGACGGGGGGCTGGTCCGAGGAGGAAAGCATCGGCGTCGCCTTCGGACACCATCTTGCGCCGTCTCGGAAGGGGCGTCGGGTGCCGCCTGGGGGACGAGGGGCGCACCCCCAGCGGGCGGACCCGTCGACGTCCGCCGACCAGAGCGGAGCCCGCTGCAGAGGCAGAAGGCGGCCTCTGCCCGTCAAACGCTGGCCCGCGCTGCTTCCCCACCCCTCGGCGGCGAGCGAGGGGGAGAAGTGAGAAGAAGAAGGCTCTCTCAGAAGGCGGCGGGGCTTCTCAGAAACGCTCCCGCCTTTGAGAGGTTTTCTGCGTCTTCGGGGAAGGCTTAGAACACTTTTCAGAGGGCCAGGGGATTTCCGAGCCTTCTGAAAACGCTTTCTCCTTCTCACTTCCCCCACCCCCTGGCTCGCCACAGGGAAAAGGTACTGATACCGCTATCCTTGCCTCGTTTTCACCTGTTGGGGCTCCCTGGCAGGACCTCGTCACCATCGCTGGATTCGCCTCGAGTTCCTGGTCAGAACGCACCCCGGGAGACGTCCGGGGAGTTCGGGGAGTAGCGGTATCGGTATCTGGTTGTTTCCCTGGGTGGGGCAGGGGGCGGGACGGGCGAGCGGGGGTCAGCCGCGCGCAGAGGGGGGTGGCGGAAGGGGGGAAGGTTTCTCAGAAGCACCCCCCTTCTAAGAAGGCGCGGGCGCCCCTTCTAAGAAGCTTGTGGCTGCTTCTCAGAAGCTGTCCCTGGCGTGCTTCTAAGAAGCTGGTGGCTTGCTTCTGTGAATCTGCTGCTGCTTCTAAGAATCAGTCTCGTGCTTATAAGAAGCCTTTGGGGTGCTTCTCAGAAGCGGCGCGCCCCTGGCTTCTTAGAAGGGCGGCCAGCACATTCTAAGAGGCAGCCGCCCTAAGTCTTCCCCCCTCTCTCTTATGGAGGATGACGATTAATAAATGACCGGGGGTCGTGTTCACGCGGCGGCACCCGGGATGACGATCAGAAAAAAACCGGCCGCGGGCTGGAAAACTGTTGGTTCTGATCGTTCTCACCCGGTCAGAAAATGATGCAGAAAGAGCAGGCAGCTATTTGTTTCATCGTTCTCTCCCATCTTTTTATTCATCGTCATCCCGCATTACCCCCTTGTGCGCGCCGCCAAGGGAAAGCTTTTTTCGTGTGCTCCGAGCAGCGCCGCGCAAGAACAGAGCTCTACGAGGATCCTGGCGGTTACCTGGTTGACGGCTTACCGCCGGATCCCAGTCGTCATCCCGCATTGCCCCCTTGTGCGCGCCGCCAAGGGGGGGGGATGGGGAACCCGGGGGGTACGCCACCTGCTGCGTGCAGCTGACCACGGCCCCGCCGCTGGGCACCTTGCCCCGCGATGCACTGGCGCCTCCCATTCGCCAGCAGGCGCCGAGGGAACGGGGGGAGGGAGGGGGAGGAGGAGGAGGAGGGGGATCAGGAGGAGGAGGAGGAGGAGGAGGAGGAGGAGGAGGAGGAGGAGGAGGAGGGAGGAGAGGAGGAGGAGGAGGAGGAGAGGAGGAGAGGAGGAGGAGGAGGAGGGAGGAGGAGGAGGAGGAGGAGGAGGAGGAGGGAGGAGGAGGAGGAGGAGGAGGAGGAGGAGGAGGAGGAGGGAGGCGGAGGAGGAGGAGGAGAGAGGAGGAGGAGGAGGAGGAGGAGGAGGAGGAGGAGAAGGAGGGAGGAGGAGGAGGAGCAGGAGGAGGAGGAGCAGGAGGAGGGGAGGAGGAGGGGGAGGAGGAGGAGGAGGAGGAGGAGGAGAAGGAGGAGGAGGAGGAGGAGGAGGAGGAGGAGGAGGAGGAGGGGAGGAGGAGGAGGAGGAGGAGGGAGGAGGAGGAGGAGGAGGAGGAGGAGGAGGAGGGGGATGATGATGATGAGGAGGAGGAGGAGGCACCCGTGTGAGCGGAAACCCGGCTCGGGTGAGCTGGCCCGACGGCGCTTCGCAGTGCACCAGCAGCCGAGGGCGGAGCCCACACGGGAGCCCGCACGGAAAAGGGAACGGAGAGGGCCCACCCTTGCGGGCTCGGAACGCACCGCCGAGGGAAGGAGCTAAGTGAAGTGATACGGGGCGTGAAAACAACCACAGCCACTGCTCTTCTTTTGTTGCCGCCTTCCAGCCCGCAGAAACAAAGCAGTGGTTGTGGTCATTTTCGTTGAGCTTGGCACCAGGGAAATGACCACAACCACTGCTTCTTTTTCGGCCGGCTGGAAGGCGGCGCAAACAAGAAGCAGTGGTTGTGGTCATTTTCCCGTCCCGCACGTGAGCTGACTCGCCGAGGCCTCCTTTGCTACCGGATCCCCTGGCGTCCGATCGACCCGGGGGGCGGGGGGCTGCCAGGCCCAAGGCGCGCTCTGTCAGAAGCGCCTGCTCAGCGTGTCGCGCCGCCAGTCCTGGCCCGCCGCGCTCAGGCGCGACGTGCCTCGCACGTCCCAGCACCCAAGCCGTCAACGCTGCGAGCTACTCCCAGCCGCGCACCCCGCGGAGCGGAGCGACACGCTATCCGCTTGCATGGCAGAGCGTGTCGCTGGGGCCGCCGCCGCGACACCCTGATCACCAAGTCCTGTCCGCGGCTCGACGGGGGTGGGGTGCTGAAGGGAAAGGGGCGGGGAGAGGGGCCCCCAGGCGTAAGTGCACCCCCACGAAGGGGCCAGGGTTTCTGAGAGGTTTTCCTCCGCTCTTGGGGCTCCTAGGCTCTCCGAGCCCCCCAGGTTCCAGGGCATTGCGCAATGGGGGGGGGGGCGATACATGGGGGGGTTGAAGGAAGGTGCAACTTTTGTACACCTTAGGTGCTCTAACGGGCCCCCTGGGGCCAAAACAGGTGCACGAAAGGTGCACGTTTCTCCCCCCAGTTATCGCCCCCTCATTAAGCAACATCCAATGGTCGTCAGAAAACGACCCTGGATGAAGAGCTGGTCCTGGGGAAGAACCGCTGGGGTCAAGGACCCGTTGATTCCCTTGTGCCAGGCTGCCATGGTGCGGCAGGTCACGTGTCGTGCCGGCACGGCGGCGACCCTGGCGCGAGCGTCCAAGTTGAAACGCCGCCAGTGGCCCTGAGCCAGCCGGCATCGCGGATCCTCGCTATCGGAAAGACGCGGACGTGAAAGGCCGAACGAATGCGCGGTGGTGAGGAGGAGGCGGAGGAGGAAGACGGATCAGGAGGAGGTGGGAGGAGGAGAGGAGGAGGAGGAGGAGGAGGAGGCGGAGGAGGAGGAGGAGGAGGAGGAGGGAAGAAGAGGAGGAAGAGAGGAGGAGGAGGAGGAGGAGGAGGAGGGAGAGGAGGAGGAATAATAGTAATAATAAGAATAAGAAGAATACCAAGAAACATATAAAACTACTAATACTCAGAAGAAGAAGAAGAACAGAGGAGGAGGAGGAGGGGAGAGGAGGAGGAGGAGAGGAGGAGGAGGAGGGGGGGAGGGGGCAGCTAGGAGGAGGAGGAGGAGGAGGAGGAGGAGGAGGAGGGAAGAGGAGGAGGAGGAGGAGAGGAGGAGAAAGGAGAAATAATACAGGAGGAGGAGGAGGCAAGGGGCGGAGGACGAACGGAGGAGGGAGGAGGAGGAGGAGCGGAGGAGGCGGAGGAGTTGGAGGAGGAGGAGGAGGAGGAGGGGAAGGAGGAGAAGGAGGAGGAGGGAGAGGGGGGGGGGAAGGAGGTGGAGGAGGAGGAGGAGGAGGAGGAGGAGGAGGAGGAGGAGGAGGAGGAGGAGGAGGAGGAGGAGGAAGAGGAGGAGGAAGAGGGAGGGGGATGAAGAGGAGGAGGGAGGAGGAAACAAATTCATGATCCGGATAATAATGATAATAGTACGAAACGAACCAGAATACTACTCCTAATAATAATAGTACAAGCAGAAGAAAGAGGAAGTGGAGGAGGAGGAGGAGGAGGAGGAGGAGGAGGAGGAGGAGGGGGAGCGGGAGGAGAAGGAGGAGGAGGAGAAGGAGGAGGGGAAGCCAGGAGGAGAAGGGAGAGAGGGAGGAGGAGGAGGAGGAGGAGGAGGAGGAGGAGGAGGAGGAGGAGGAGGAGGAGGAGGAGGAGGAGGAGGAGGAAGGGGAGGAGGAGGAGGAGGGAGGAGGGAGGAGGAGGGAGGAGGTAGTTCCCCGAGCAGGGCTTGCACTTGTAGGGGTTCTCTTGCTCGCCTTCTAAGGGGCAGGGCCCGTTTGCGGCCCGAGGGGGGCGCCGTTCCCGTCCGTGGCCGCCGCCCCGCCTGGCATTGTTCTGCATCGCATGCCGTTGCTGCGCATGGCATTGGCTTGCATCGCTCTGCATCGCGCTGCATCGCCCTGTATTGCGTTGAATTGCGTTGCCTTGCACCGCATTGCGTTGCACTG